AAAAAAAAAAAAAACCCTAAGGGCCACCGGCCAAGTCGACGGGACAAATGCAAGACCTCCTGCCACCGCCTCAGTTCGGGCCACACGGCTGCGAGATCACTACCCCCGGCTTCAGTCACCGAGCACCGATTCAGTCAGGTGCTCTGCAAATTGGCTCGCCGGCTCGCCGCTCGCGCACCACTTCCGTCCCGGCGCAGCTGCTAATCGGAGTCCCCGATGCCCATCCGGCCGTCTCTCTGCAACTCTCCACTCCGAGTATTGATGGCTACATCCTTGAATCTTTCAATTTTTTTGGTTGTGGGCTGTGGATTGCTTATGTAAATTCATGATCTGCTTGGCTTTTGCTATTATACCTTATTTTTATGGCGTTTGGCTGCCAATTTTTGCTCACTGTTCTGTTTGGTTCAGCATATCTATTATTTTTGTTATGGGGCGGATCAGCCGGCCTAGCCCGAAGGCAGCGGCTGTGGCCGGACTGGCTTTTCTTAGGCCAGTCAGCCTGCCCCGTCCAGCCCAGCCTAAAAGGTGGGTTTTGGGGGGCTGCACCGCCTCTCCCTGGCCCGCTGGCCTGTTTCAAAATGTCTATTTGTCCTGGAAAACCTGCTCTGGGTGGTGTGGATTAGTGAATTATATTTATACCAAAATATAGTGACGATTTCTTCAGTAAGATGTTTTTTATTGGTCCTGTAAAGCCTGCTCTTGGTAGTGTGAATGTGAAATATTTAAGTTATTTTTATTTTTATCAAATGTAGTGGCTATTTCTCTATTGAGATGATTTATTTTGGTCTTAGTTTATTGTTTGTTAAAGGATGTCACCACCCAAAGCTCTGGAAAGCATGCCGTCAAATGTTTGGATGTAGAATATGTAGCTGCTATGCTAGGTCATATATCATACTAAATCTGCACACAAGTATTTTCTTGCAGCTAGGTTAACAATCGATATGTTTTCTGTTGTGTAACTTTAGTACTGTATTTTTCTAGAAGGTTAGACATTATTGTATTAGTGATTGTAATGTGACTGTCATGCATTGCCAAAACCAAAAGAGTGCAGACGTGATTATACCACCTTTGAGTGATTCCTTCTGTATAGATCCTTCTGTGTTTGGGTCATAACTACTGGTGAACCTGCACAAATATGTGTGAAAAGTTGCATTGTATGATATTAAATGTACTTCATGTGCAATACGTTAGTGTTTCTTTTTGTATATGCTTTAATATTTACTTGTTTTTTTCTGGATAATGTAAACAATTGATAATTGTTAAAGGGCAGCAGACCAGGGAATGATGTTAAAAAATGCTTAAACTGAATTATCAAGACAAAAATTAGGACAGTTTGATAAGTTAATTTTTATCAACTGAATTTTAAAGTGGTGCTGTATTTGTGTAACTTGATCAGAAAAAACATGTGTAAATAAGGTTAGAATAAGTGGATATACCTTATTTATCACTCATTTTTACATTTTTCTCAAACAATATTAGTATGATGAGCATTAAGATTCATTCATAAATTGCTTTTGAATTTTCAGAACGCAGCACTTATTTTCAGTTTTCAGAATCAGTTTTTATCAAATGTTCTCTTCGTCCACTTAGGATGTGCTGCTAGTTGCTGTAGATATTTGTTATTCGATCATGGAAGCCAAGTTATATTTCACATGTGGATAGAGTAACCTACAATTATGAATAAACTATTTTCCTTGGCTAGCAATTTGGAGCTATGTTTCTTGATGTGATGATTGCAAATTGTATTTCATACTATTTATTTTAATACTTTAAATGTCTTAATGATCTAGTGTAATTTTCTTATGTTCTTATAATTCAGTTGATGAAGACATGCTGTTGAACCTTGCTCACCAAAATTACAAAGCTGGGAACTATAAACAGGCACTAGAACATAGCAAGACTGTATATGAGCGAAATCCACGCCGCACGGATAACCTTCTCTTGTTGGGTGCAGTTTATTATCAGGTTACTCATTGATTGGATATGCGTTTCTAATTCGCATTCTTGCTGCTGCTGCTGCTGCTTTATTTCTTTTTGATAAATATGCATTTGGGCTTTGACATGCAAGCATTTAAGGCTGACATTTGTACTGTTCGAATTTTAGTTGCAAGACTTTGATTTGTGCATTGCGAAGAATGAAGAAGCTCTTCGAATTGATCCACAATTTGCTGAGTGCTATGGAAATATGGCTAACGCCTGGAAGGTACTATATTCTGATGTTCTTAAATGTTAAGTTTCTTGCTAGTTTTACCCTAGAGAAACTGACATGTAATATGTTGCTCTTTCTCTTTCTGCCAGGAGAAAGGGAATATTGATGTGGCCATTCGCTATTACTTGATTGCTATTGAGGTTTGTCTGCGTGTACCATAAACCTAGAAGATGTAGTAATATGATTCTACACACACACACACACACACACACACACATATATATATATTCCCATTTCACTGAAATGAAAGGGAGATGCAGTGTCATTTGCTTTTGATATTATGCTTGACCGTCGAAAGTCTTCATTTTATTAGCATTTTTAGTCTCCTCAGTATTTCTAGAGCTTTCACCTATGTTGGAGACCATTTGTCTGACTTAGATGATGATGAATGTTGCGGTTCTGTGTTTTAAATATTGGAGTTTTCATCCCTACCATTTTCAGAAAATGATCTCAGGATATGTTGTGATTTTGCATATGGCCGACTGGTTGGAAATCAATAGTTTCTTGCCTGTAATAGATGATCTGTGGTTAGCTTCATGCAGTTTTTATTAACAATATCTTTTAAGCATCGTTTATACTTCGAGTTATTCTGCGGTGATTGGCTTAAAGGCACCTGTCGCAAGAAAAAAAAAGGAAAAAATGCATTCAGTTGATGGTATATTATGAGTGTCGATCAAACACAATGCAAATATTTCTGCTGCATTTTAGTTTTATTCTGAGGTCTCTGCTCTGTGAAGTATACTCATTTGTTCTTGTGAATAGTTCAATATAAAGGGTCCTTACACTTTTCTGTATAAAATAATAGGTTTATAAGGTTTCTTGGTTGTCTCTTTCCTATGTTTTATGTATTTAATGCCAGTGTTATCAAATTGCGGCCATGGCGGATTTCTGCCTAACTGCCATGCTAAATCTATATCTATATCTATATATATATAATTACTAGCTGATGCATTTATTAAAACATTTAATAAAACCTATTTCATTTCCCTCCAAAAGGAGTTACATTTTTTTTAATTAATTACTCACTAATTGCTAAAACCGATACACCTTAATATATATATTTTTATTATTTATTTTTTGGATCAGTTACTAAATTAATTATGAATTTGGTAGCAAAATATTCAAATATGTAACGGCTAATGTTGGAACTTAAAGTTGATTGGCACATTCAGAGGTGTAACCGCTATATTTGGTTGCATTGTTGGAAGAAAAATAAGATTGACATTTTTTTTTTCTAAAAATCAGAAACGCAAATAAGTTTTCTAATTTATGTTAATTTTCTTAATATATGCCACAAATATATAAATTATTTTATTCATGTTACTAATATAAACGTTGCATGGTTAAAATAAAATTTAAATCTCAATTAATTTTGAATGATAAAAATAACTTAAGAAAAAGTAGTAATTTTTATATGATAGAAGTACATGTCTAATTAATAAATACAAACAAAAACGTGTTTTATATATGTGCAAATGCACATGATCAAATACTAGTTTGTGAAGGATAGTAGTTAGGCCGCGCCATAGTCCGCCACGGAGGCCGCCATGGAGAAATTTTGGCCTACCGCCATTTTTCGCCCTCCGCCATTGATAACACTGATTAATACTTGGCTGCGCCTCAGCTATATTTATCCCAAACATAAGAAATGAATAAAAATGCGTTAATGACAAACAAGTGGTTGAGGAAGTTCAGTGTGAACACTTGATAATGTCATCTACCTTTATTCCATAAGTAATTGCCTTTTCTGCAAACTTCTGATTGCAGCTTCGGCCTAATTTTGCTGATGCTTGGTCGAACTTATCTAGTGCTTACATGAGAAAAGGAAGGCTAACTGAGGCTGCTCAATGTTGTCGTCAAGCTCTTGCTCTAAATCCTCGCTTGGTATATTTCCATTTGTGATTTCTGCTGTTTGTTCATTACGTTGTAATTTTTCTTCTATCTATATTGATGCTGTCTCTGCTAGGTTGATGCTCATAGTAACCTTGGGAATCTGATGAAAGCGCAAGGATTAATGCAAGAGGTAATATAGCTACAATGACGTTACACTTGTTTCCTTCTTTTGTGTCTACTTGTTTTATTTACCTATGATTTTTGGTAGAAAACTAATGTTCCAGGTTTGTCCACAAAGTTCCTGGTTTCCATATATTTTCTCTGTTTTCTAGTTAGATGATGCTATGCATGTATGCTGAATTTTATTTGTTTGGCTCTAGATACAAAGACTGGAATTGTAAATTCCATCCTGAAATATCATAGAACTGCTATAAGACTCGCAACACTTTGTAGAGTTGAATGCTAATTGCTAAATGACTAAATATGAAGAGGCACAAGTAGTGAAGTTACCATAAATGGGAATGTTGAGATGGAAGTCCAGGCTCACAGACTAGAGAATATATGAAATATAGGGAACATGTGATGTTAATACCACTACCGAGAACATCAAGGAAATACACCTAACATAATCTGGAGATGCTTATAGGATACATTATTTTTAATGTGTAAAAGGTAGGAGATTACTCACATTAAAAGACGGCGAAGACCAGACATGAGATGGAAAAAACTATTCTAAAGGACATTTTGTAATCTAGGAATAAATGTAATATGGATTTTTGATAAAAAATAATGGTGTTAAATCCATATAGCCAACCCAACAGTGCGATAAGGCTTCTTTGTGATCTCATTTTTGTTTTGATCGTACTCTAGTTTGAAGTCTGTTTATTTATCTCTTCTTGGTCAGGCATACAATTGTTACTTAGATGCGCTTGGCATTCAGCCTACTTTTGCAATTGCATGGTCCAACCTTGCTGGTCTTTTTATGGAGGCTGGAGATTATAACAGGGCCTTGCAGTACTACAAGGTAGATATTTCAGACTACTTTAGTTGAAATCCGAGCTTTTTGGAAACTGGCTGCAGGAGTGATACTAATATGTTTTGGTTTATCTTTGGATATGGTTGATTGTATCATGAGTGCCTTTTTTACTGTATTTTGTGGTGCATACAGGAAGCTGTCAAGCTGAAGCCAAACTTCTCGGATGCTTATTTGAATTTGGGAAATGTTTACAAGGTAAGCTTGTAAAATTGCTTGTGGAAGTTGTGTAGGTGCCAATCCAAGTCAAGAACAGGAAAGAGACGAGTCTTCTTTGTGTTTACAGGCATTGGGAATGCCACAGGAGGCTATAGTATGCTATCAACGAGCTCTTCAGTCACGGCCAGATAATGCTATGGCTTTCGGTGAGTGTTTGTTGTTGGGTATGCATTCCTGGTAAATTTGCCAGACTTTTCAAGGAGTTGGAAAGGGGCATGTGGTTTTGAAGAGGCACTTTATAATTCCCCTTTTTGATTACTGTCTACCTGATACGTGATCATTTAACCAGAAAAACACCACGTATATAACTGTCTTCTGTCCTTTTTTTTTAACAAAGAAAAGCATTTTAAGCCTTTTTTGGGTTACCTATAACCAGAAGTGCAGTATTTAGTTGTCCATTGTCCTATGCACTCATTGGCATGCCTGGAATTTTGCTACATGGTGGAAGTTAAACTTCACATTTTTAAATTCATATATGATGGAGAACGGAGTTTGAATTGTTGCATTGGCCTTCTCTCTTGTTTCCATATGGTGGCATGCCCAATTTTGTTTTTGAGCACTTGAAGTGTCTGGCTTAGGCTAGAATGACATAAACTGCTGTTGCTTTCCCTGTTGATGAGAGAGGTGGAGAGGAATGATCTGCCATAAAGTGAGAGGACAATTAGAGGATCCTGCTTATGTCCTTGCTGGAGGCATCTTTTTTTATATGTGATCTGAACAAGGGAAGGTTTACTTGATTATTCGGCCTTAATAAGAAGCGTCAGTGAAATAATAAGGTCTCAATCAATCGTGGGAACGACTCTAATTCATAGACCCACATCAGCTTTACAAATAAATAGATCTGTATAGAATCCAGTGATTTTCAGAGATGTCGGCCCGCCCGGGGGGTTGGGGGGTGGGGGTCTGTGGTTTTAATTTTATGCCAAAATACTGCCTCAAAACAAGTGCCTTATGTCTCTCTCACCCATTTTATCTGTCCAACTTGACCTTATTTTCATTTTTCACACAAATTTGCTATTTATTCATTTCAACTATATACCTCTCTCACCATGTTTTCCACATTTGTTTTTCAGATGTCTCATTTTGTTTATATGTTTGTGCATGTGTTAAATTGTTATTTTCATATGAAAAAGGAGATTTACTTTATGTATCAAATATATCATTTCTTTTCTTCTATAGCTTCAAACAATCTTCTTTCTGTATTAATCAAATATATCAGCTGTTATGAATTGCTCTGAAGCAATCTTGGCCAGCAGTGGTCACATTTTTCGTATGTGGACGGGATGAGAATAATTATCCAACATATTTGTATTATTAATATGTGGACTTACTGTAACTTCTCATGATGAGTTGCCTTGTGTCTTTGGCTTGTCTGGGATTTTTATTGTTGTAAGGCTTGCAGGCAACTTGGCTAGTGTTTACTATGAGCAGAGTAACCTTGATATGGCAATACTCAACTACAAGAGAGCGATTGCCTGTGATGCTGGATTCCTGGAGGCATACAATAACTTGGTTTGGGTTACATTTCTGTATAAAGATCCATTGGTTGATTGTTTGTTCTGTTTTTTATGTATTTTGTTTTTTATGTATTTTGACTGCCAGGGTAATGCATTGAAAGATGCTGGAAGAGTAGAAGAAGCAATTAACTGTTACCGAGTTAGTAATTTTTCAACTTACATAAGCGCATGTTGTGTAATTGGCATTTGTCATTTATTGACATCTCTCTTTCTCTCTCTCTCCCCCCTCTCTTCTTTCTCCTTTTTCATTCTCTTTGTTTCTTTTTTGAAGCAATGCCTGTCTCTGCAACCAAATCATCCTCAAGCACTTACCAATCTTGGAAATATATATATGGAGTGGTATGCTTGATATCAATGTTTATGTATCTGTTTCTTTGCTTCTTTCATCCCACGTTTACTACCACTACCACTATTACTACTAGAATTGTTATATTTTTCTTTTTGTTCACTCCTGTTGGTCATGAATCTCATTTAATTTTTTCAAGGAACATGATGAGTGCTGCAGCGCAATGCTACAAAGCAACACTAACTGTTACAACAGGGCTTTCTGCACCTTTTAATAATTTAGCAATAATATACAAACAGCAGGTATGCTAGTATCTTCGTTCTTCAGAATTGCTGGCAGAATTGTTGAAAGAGCCGAAAACTAATGTTTCATGTTAAGGAGCTGCTTCCTGACTTTAGTACATGACAATAAGTAATTTTGTTTGTTTCGTTCCAGGGTAGTTATGCGGATGCAATTTCTTGCTACAATGAGGTTCTCAGAATTGATCCAATGGCAGTTGATGGTCTTGTCAATCGGGGAAATACTTACAAAGAAATTGGACGAGTTACTGAAGCAATTCAAGACTATATGCGTGCTATTGCCATCCGACCAACCATGGCAGAGGCCCATGCTAATTTGGCTTCCGCTTACAAGGACAGGTAATTATATGTCTACTCGTCGATAATGAGATCTTGCTTTGTATTATGCAAATTTCATTTGTGAGTCGAATTTTCTCTCAATCAAACAAAAGTATTTGTTTTAGGACATTGTGCAACTATTTGGTTGTTTCCTGATTAATATTCCGCATCTTACATACCTTCATCTGGGATACCTGCAGTGGTCATGTTGAAAATGCAATCAAAAGCTATAAGCAAGCTTTGGTGTTGCGTCCAGATTTTCCAGAAGCCACTTGTAATCTTCTTCACACTTTGCAGGTATACTTACAAATTGTTTTTCAGTTTTACCTTTTCTGGACCAAGTTACGTGCTACTGTACAAATTGTTACTTTTCTATATATCTTTTACCATATTCAAATTAAGTTATTTATGTAAGGCTAGAATAAAGTGATGGACCAGGCTTTTGCTCAGGACCTAATTTGTTTTCTTGTTAGTAGTCCCGAGCAGTCAAGAATGGTGTTTTTCATGTAAGTGGATAAAATTTGTTGTGTAATTATCTTACGGCAAAAATTTGTAATATGTCCGGATACTGTTCTAGGCAGAGCAGTTGACTTGGTAGTGCATTCATCATTCATGGTGATATTACCATTACAGAATACTATTGTATTGAAATAATATTGTAACCATCATAATTAATGTGGGCTTTCCATTCCATTTCCACCCGACTAAGAGCATCTCCAATGGCAATGTCTATTGTGAGATGTATGGTGTGGAGAAAGAAAATAAAAATATTGTCTCCAATGGTTAATGTCAATTGCGGAATAATTTGACACATGTAAGATAATAATTGCGGAATAATTTGACACATGTAAGATAATGATTGGTTGGTGGAGAGAGAAATATAAAATAAATAATATAATAGAGTACAGAAGATGTCTAGAAGTCTTTCTGCATCTAGAACTTCTACATATTTTAAATGCGGGATTGGATTTTTGGGGCTACATAACAATGGGATAGAGCAATCCATGGACCACTGGAGATGCTCTAATTATGGCATATGAGCTAGACAAGACAATATTACTTGCATTTGCAAGCTGGGGAGTTAAATTTTGGGATAGATTACAGCAGGTTAAAAATATTTGTCTGGGCAAATATATTTTAAAATATTTTATATCTACTTGCACCCGTATTCCTTAACGGCTTACGTTAGGACACTGTTACTCCGTTAGGACGCTCTTTCCTTTTTCTATACTATGCCCTTGGCCTGCGAGATTGAGTGTGAGCTTTGGGGATGAGGTGGGCTGGTTTTCATAGATCCTGGACCTCAACTTTTGGGTGCGTGGACCCTCTCGCGTACCAGTATCTGGACTTCTCCACCTCAGCTTCCCGGCTGCATTGGTTCCACATCCATCGGAACTACTGCATCCACTGCGTATCCCACGCTGACTATATTGATCTCTGTTTTCCTGAATCCTTTTCCTAAAAGAAAAACTTTTTTTCAGAAAAAAAAACAGCAAAATCCGATCCAATTTGTCGAGCATCTTCAAACCTGGACTCTCGAATCTTTTGCTTCTCGGGTACCGGTATCCTGATATCAGGGCCCCTGAGCACAGAGCACCGGCTTAGGTGAAAACCCAACATGGATGAGTGGTTGATCGAAAAGTCTATGAAAAGATTGACGATTCCAAATATTAGCACTGCTCACCGGTCAGGAGGGATTTATCTCCAACCTTTTATATCTAAACTATGAAGTAGGGCAAGATGTATCCATCGGGAAGTGAAGTTCGGCCCCAAGATTAGTAAGATAGTCTTGTAGAAATAGAGCCAGTGCGTTAACACTACATCCGATCTTTCGCCCTGCTTTCCTTGTTCAAGTAGTTGTAAGGCCTTGGAGCTTCCTCAGTGCTTGTTGCTACTGTAGCCGTGGTTCCATTACCCGAGGGCTGGGATTAGTAGCTTCAAACAATTCCCAAGTGGTTTATTCAAGACTGGGAACTGTCCTTCGGAGTATTCCCAGGTTGTTTGTTCTATGGTTCCTACACCGAAAGGAAAGCCCCTTCCCTTAAGGTATGGTATACTCTACAAGTGGGAAGCTCGACGAAGAGCTTCCCTTGCCTTTAGGCTTACGGAAAAAGGCGAATCCAAGGGCTCTTTACTTTACAAGGAAAAAATCTCATAGGCACGGACTTTTGTATGGAAGACGCCGGTCCCTCGGATTTCAGTCGAGACCTCGTCCCTACCTTCCTCTCCTTCACAGTCGGAGAAATTCTATTTATCATAATAAGAAGAATGGAATATCGTTCCGGCCGCAGTCGCGCTGTTGCCCCCGTTTGGGAAGCATGTGAGTTGGAATGTACTATCCTCCCGACTGGCCAGCGAATGACGCGAGCGCGACAAATTCCTGATGTGACCACGACTCCCAAACCATCTTCCTGTGTGTGCCGTTCGGACTTGTTCGCTTGTTCACTCGTGAGCACAGACACCTCCGAGAATGGATTCATTCCCTGATTCCCCCCTATCTAGTTGGAAAGCCTTTCTAAAGCCAATCGATTCTCGGATTTCAGCATAGGCTTTCAAAAGTGACTTCTCGACAGATGAGGTTCTCCTGTTAGGAGAGTGTGGATAGCCTGACTAATTTGTCGTGAGATTTTCGGCAATTCAGCCCAGTTAACAAATATTCTGTTTTCATTTTCTTCCTTTAATTCGTCCTTGACAGTTGACATCACAAATGGTACTCGTCTACTTAAATATTGGCATCTATTTTCATTAGTTCTCTGAGCATTTCTTACTAGACAAACATGTTTAGTTTATTCCTCAGGACCTCAGGTGAACTGCAAAACTGCAAACTGTTTGGGAAGTTCGTGTATTTTGTCAAACTGATAATTGTAGTTCTATTCTTTGAGTGGAGACACAGACATACTTGGATGTGCAAAGTATCGTTACTTGTTATATTTGATGATACTCAAAAAATAATTCTCCATTTTTAGGAACTGGGTTGGATCGCATAGATGAATTTCCAAGGCATATATGATGATGCATTTTATGTGTAGAAATGTGAAATAGTACAAATCAGGAGGTAAATTTTGGAGTAAGCTACTCGAGTTCTATATGATGAGCAGGACATTTTGCCTGTCTTGCATCATTGTTTGATGGCTCCTGTGTTCCCTGCCTTGAATCGTTACGTTGGCTTATTTTCTTTACAATTGACTAGCTAGTATGTTATTATATTCTGTTTCAAATTTGAATAACTGATGGAATTTCCACGCTATTGATCTTATATACCTTGTGATACATTACATTATCATGGTAACCGAAAAAATAGTTAGAATTGTTTGATGTGTTCCATTTGTTTCTTGGTATTTAACTAAATTGATTTCTGGAATATAATTAAATTTGGCCTATGTCATCTACATCAGTGCGTTTGCGACTGGGATGATCGAGAGAAGATGTTTATTGAAGTAGAAGGGATACTCAGGAGACAGATTAAGGTTTGCTGTAAAAATCTTCTTATTCAAGCTCATTCTGACCCCACCCAAAACATTCTTCTTGATCAGTTCTAGCCATCAGTGTTATTAACGGCGGTACATGTCGGTTTGCCCAAATTCCGCCATGGCGCGGCCATGACCGCCATCATTCACAAATATTGTATGGCGGATTGTCAAACCGCCACGCCATACCACCATGGCGCTGCCATTTGATAACACTGCTAGTCATTAGCAGTTTTTGTCTGTCCTTACCTGATACAAGTTGCACTTATGGCAACGTTCTATTTGTTGTAGATGTCAGTGATTCCAAGCGTGCAACCTTTCCACGCAATAGCTTATCCTCTTGACCCCATGCTCGCATTAGAGATCAGGCAAGAAATTCTGCTTCCTTTTTTTTTTTTTCACTGGGGTTATTTAATCTTAACATTTCTAATTAGTTTTTTTGGTTTGTGCAGTTGGAAATATGCTGCACATTGTTCAGTTGTAGCATCCCGTTTTTCACTTCCTCCTTTTAGCCATCCTTCTCCATTACCTGTAAGGGGTGGAGGCAGGAATGGCCGTTTAAGAGTTGGGTTAGTTCATTGTCGTATTTTGACTATAGTTCCTCAGAACAATTTTCTGTTACAGGGGCAAGAAGTACAATGTTCTTTTATGTTTATCTCTTTCAGATACGTGAGCAGTGACTTTGGCAATCATCCTTTATCTCACCTCATGGGTTCGGTATTTGGGATGCATGACCGAGAAAATGTGGAGGTTAGTCTGTAGTATATATTGCTTTTGGTTAACTTTCAATTTTCATTTTCGTCGCTATTACATGTTTGTTGTTGCCTTAATAGGTTTTCTGCTATGCATTAAGCCCAAATGATGGTTCTGAGTGGAGGCTGCGAATCCAATCAGAAGCAGAACATTTTATTGATGTGTCTTCTATGGCATCTGATATGATTGCAAGGATGATTAATGAGGATCAGATACAGATTCTTATCAACCTTAATGGTTATACTAAGGTATCAAATTGCTATATTTGTTGATTATTGTGGTTTGTTTATCATTTTGTTTACTTGGTTTCTGCACTGGTGCTACCTGTGGATTTGCTTACGTTATAATTGGCTCTCATTATTCTGAATTATTGCAGGGTGCAAGAAATGAAATATTTGCCATGCAGCCTGCTCCTATTCAGGTTTCCTATATGGGATTTCCTGGTACGACAGGAGCGAGCTACATCCACTATTTGGTTTCTGATGAGGTATTGTTGCTTGTTTTCCCTGAGAATAGCTGACCCCGAAATGTGGTTGCTTTTGTAAACATTCAAAAATTAAATTATTCGGAAGTAGAGTTTTTTTCCCCAAACCAATTACTTATCATTTCGATGCACCATTTATTGAACTCATTTTTCCACATTCCTTATCCAAAATCAATAAAAAATTACATTATTCGGATTTTCATTTTTCTCCCCTACCAGTTATGTCCTTTCGATGCACAGGTTATTAAAGCACATTTGTCCACATTTCTTTATTAACTTAGATATAACTTACTGACCAATTTATTATGTCAGTATATCTATTTCTATATCTAATCAATTATCACCATTTTATTTTCGTTTCATACCAATCAAACTCTACATTTCACTCGCATTTAAAAACCTTTTTTTATCACCCAAGTTAGATAAAAGAAATAAAAGTAATCCAAAGTGAACGAAGCAGAAGTTTGAACCTTAGGCAACTTCTGTGTAACAATTACCACTATTTCTCTTGCAGTTTGTATCTCCTATGTGTTACTCTCACATATATTCTGAGAAGATTGTTCATCTGCCTCATTGCTATTTTGTAAATGATTATAAACAGGTAAACACTAGGAATTGATTTTCCTTTGTATTATTATTATTATTATTATTATTAATATTATTATTATTATTATTATTATTATTATTATAATAATATTTTTTTTCTTACTGGATTATTGGCTTGTTCTAACTGCAATCCTATGTTGAATGTCTTCGAAGAAAAATCTCGATGTACTGGATTCAAGCTGCAAACCGAAGCGATCAGACTATGGGCTGCCTGAGGACAAATTTATATTTGCTTGTTTCAATCAACTTTACAAGATGGACCCTGAGATATTTACAACCTGGTAAACATGGAGAATGACAACTCTACCCAACTGATATTTTGTCCATCGTTTCATGCATAAAGAATTGCTTTCTTTGTGCAGGTGCAATATTCTTAAGCGTGTCCCAAATAGTGCGCTTTGGCTTCTTAAATTTCCGGCCGCAGGCGAGATGAGGCTTCATGCTCGTATGTTAATCCATTTCTTCTTATCATCACAGAAGAGCTTCTATTGAAAAATGGATTTATTTGTGGTATACATTAGTTGACTGTTATAATCTTCCAGGTGCTGCTGCCCAGGGTGTGCAGTCGGACCAAATAATTTTCACAGATGTTGCTATGAAACAGGAGCATATCAGACGCAGTGCATTAGCAGACCTATTTCTTGATACGTATGTGCTAGCTGGAGCTTCTTTATGCAAACATTTTAACCATTTTTACAATCGGTAAACATTCATTCATTTTTTTTTTTTTTTTTTTCCTTCTTGCAGGCCTCTTTGCAATGCACATACTACTGGCACGGACGTTCTCTGGGCTGGTCTACCTATGATTACTCTTCCCCTTGAGAAAATGGCTACCAGAGTTGCAGGTTCACTGTGTTTGGCAACAGGACTTGGGGAACAGATGATTGTGAGCAGGTAAAGTGTTCCAACTTTCCAACACCATGTATTATATTTTTTCCTATGTAAGCATTTGTTCTATGTGTAACTATGCTCCAGGTGTAGATTCTTTTCTTTTTTTCTTCTGGCTAATTACTACTTCTTTTCTTTTCTTTTATTTTTTTTCTTTTAATTCTTTCTTTATCCTTTTCTCTTTTTAATTGGGATAGGGGGTAGGGGATAGGGGTTGTTGGTGAGTGATTTGGTTTAAAATCCGAAAGTTCAGTTTTATCTTTTCAATATATGAGTAACCCCTTCAGCTTGCCGTGCACTTGGTACTCATATTGTTCTCTAATTCTCTGTACCTCGTGTTGGGCTGTCATAGCATGAAAGAGTACGAGGAGAAGGCTGTTGCATTGGCACTGAATCGTCCAAAGCTCCAAGATCTCACCAACAGGTTGAAGGCTGCACGATTAGCTTGCCCTCTTTTTGACACTACACGCTGGGTTAGTAACACTTGCCTCTGACCATTACTTTTCACTGTCGCATCTTTCTTGGAAAAACAAAATCAAAAAAAAAAAAAAAA